TAAATATATAAATATACCAAACTGACATGGGTAATTTCCTAATTGATTTCCTAATATTTCAAAATAAATATAAAACATTACTTTAAAACATTAACTTATGCATAAACATAGAGTTCCATGCTGAATACACAGGTCAAGCAGAATCTGCCTTTGCCTTGGTTTGCTCACCAAAGTCTCTGCATTGTCAGGTGAAAGTATGTACATTTAAACAAAATCTGATTAAATTTATACCATTTAATTGAAACATTTCATTTCCGTTAGCTTTTAACAATAAAACAAACAAAGGGTTACATTAAATTAGAATTGACAATATGGAAACCATCACCATCATTCTCCCTCTGTTCTCAGATGTGATGGCAGGCCAAATCAAAGTTTACCATGGGCCAACTTTAGAAAGCGGGCTCTATTTTGGGCATCTTGGTTTATAGCATGCATATTAAGCACTCACACAAATATGACTCCTTGACTGTTGAAAACCTTTCATTTGTGTTTAATCTTAGTGTCTTTTGTCCCTTCATCCATCAGTGTCTTTTTAATGGTAATAGTAAGCATCTTTTTAGCAACTAAGAACTGCTGAAGTGCGCATTCATTCAGGGATTTTGCATGTTATACAGAGTGAGAAATTGCCTTGACTTACATTTAAATGGTTGGATATTTAAGTGGCACATGTGAAGCTAATAGAGGAAGTTTTAGAAAAAGCAAATTCCATACTTATTTCAGTAAATGTCAAACTTGCTTGGGTTGGATTGTGTATTTATTTCTGAGATACACAACATGCATTTAGATACTAAAAGGAAAGTTCTTTCAAGTTCATCTTAGTTCATCTAAACATCTTTAGGCTTTTTTTTTCTTTAGTAAAACACTGAAGAAATTTTTAAGCTGAAACTGATTCTTTGTGATATATAATATGCAAGTCAATGGATTCCACCTAACTTTGATTAAGGTAGGAGTGGGCCATTCATTTTTCCTAAGGGCTACATTAGACTCTGGGGTGATTTTAGAGGGCCAGACTAACACAGTTCATTTGTGTGTGTGTGTGTGTGTGTGTGTGTGTGTGTGTGTGTGTGTGTGTGTGTGTGTGTTTTAACATTAAGTAAAACAGCTCAGCAAACATTCATAAAAACTCTAAAGTTTAAAAAAAGAATCAGTTTCACACAAAAAGTATGTTGAAGACCAGCGTCACAATATCAACTTCATATAAATGCCACAAGGTTGTTTGTTTGATTGCTTCACCTTAGTTATTTTTTTATTCATTCATTCGTTCATGAATGTCAATTCATCAGAGAATTCTAGCCTGTTTTGGGCTGAACAAGTGCACTAAAGTCAGATTGAATGTGAGGTGGATATGTGATGTAATGATCATCACTGAGAGAGGATCTGTATCTATATTTGTTAAATAGTTTTTCTGAGGTAATTAGTCTACCTTTATTACTGTGTAATTCCATACAAAGTGTGAAGCTGCATGGTTGTTCCTGTCACATGAATCATGGTTCACTCAGGGCACTCTGAAATGTTTAGATTTTTTTCAACTCGCAACACCTGAAAACTTGAGCAGTTGAATTTAAATTAAATAAATACTTCATATGCATGGGCTAATCAAAGAAGTCCAGCGCATGGGCTGTAAGATGGCCAGGTATGGATTAAGACATGTATACGCCAGTGCATTTCTTCAATGGCTTCTGCAATGTCACAACATTTATTCCTGTATAGTTACATTAATTTTTCACCAAGATCCTGTATTGATGATTAGAGAGTCGGACCACTGGTCTACGTCTTCTCTATCAATAGGGTTACTCTATGGTAGCCCATCCATTTTTAAAAGAAATCATATCTCATGCTCGTTGAACTTTTTCTTCACAATTCAATCCCTATGAATTCTGCTATTGGAATATCCAGATGTCAACAAAAAAGAAAAAAAAACATTGATGGAATAACCTGGAGATTCAGTATATTTGTGCAGTCAGCTGACCTCATTCTATAATCACATAACATTGCTAAACCTCAACCTAACCTACTGCAGCATCCCCAGACCAAGAAATGAAACAAAAATGTGCAGGAAATGGAACCTTATTACCATCAATTCAGAAACTGGAGCATGAACGTTCAGTTGTATATTAAGTGAAAAATATATTAAACATTATGAAAATATGAAATATTAGAGTCGAGATCAGAGAATCAAAGTTGGAAGCATACAGCTTTGTTTCTCCTGTATATGCTTTTTTTTTTGCCAAGTCTTTGACTTGCATTTTATGAATCCCTAATGGACACAGTTTCAATTCAAACATCTACTTCTTGGATGGCCTGAGTAAATAAATGGGTGATTATTCATTTTTTGGGTGAACTATCCCTTTAAAACATGCAATAAGTTTTTGTTTGCAAACATCATATAAAAGTGATTTTTAGTGAATGTATGAACCCAAGGTTGAGAATTTATATATCTAAAAAAATATTTTTCCTTTACATTTAAGTATAAACAGGTCATTTAAAAGTGAGTAGGAAATGTATTGTTAGCAGATTAGCATTTGATAGTTGTGTTACAGCTTCATGGGTGTCTGCTGCATTGGCACAATGTGAGCTCACGCCTGACTGCATATGCTCCATAGGCTCAATGCTCGAGAATGACATCATGTCTTTCTGTGTCATCCTATCACTATTCACCAGCAGTCCCGTGTGGCTTATCCTGTGGGTGTCCACTATGTCAACACACAAACCCCTCTAGCGCACAACTACCAAGGTCCGAAATGCATGGTATACCGTTCCAAAACAATGAAATATTACAGAGCAACCAGTCCTTTTGGGCCTGATGTAACATTTTTGGGGTGTTTGCTAAATTAAAAAAAGGCTGTGAATATTATTATTTAAATGTGTTGCATTACTACTTATTTACATTTGCTAATTGTACCATTGTTCACAAATGGCATAATAAAAATATGGCATAATGAAATAAAACAATTAGTTTTATCTGAAGACAAATAGATAATTTATGATGTGTCAATTGATTATGTATAATAGTTTTGGAGTCATCGTGTTAAAGTTTATTGTAACATTTGGCATCATAATTACATTAAATGGTGACACATTTAAAGACTTTGTCCACCAGCTTTGATTTTAATATAGTCTTATTATATTAAACACAACAAAGTGACACAGATTTCAGTCCTCCATTAAGCAGATAGTTAATTGTGCTCTTCTCCTTATCTTGATGTTTAGTCCTAATGTACACAGAGACCAGTCAACTGTTTATAAGAGATACTATGCAGATTTGTGGCAATGAATTGTGCGACTTTATAAACTCTTTGTCTATGTGGCATTAAACATTGGCCACTGACTGTCAATCATTAAGTTTCCCTTGCAAAAATTGCTGCACAAACTGTTTCCCCTGTCAACAATAATTCAACAGTTTAGATAAGTGCTAAACAAACCTGAACTTTAAATAAACCATTCCCAAGTCTGATAGGGTTTTGCCAACTGTTAAGTGTGTGTGCTTGGATAGGACTGCCACAGTTAGGGAAACACCAATTTTGGGGTCTCCCCGACAACCGATTAAGCAAATCAACCCCAAAAACTCAGACTGAAATCATTTTCTGACCTTTAAATATTGGACTTTGCGTAATGTTTAAAATCTTAGTGTGAACAAACACTGACAAGAATGTGTCTGGCCGATGATTCAGCTGTGCAGGAAGTTATTTAACAGGGTATTGTTAAAGTTTATCCATGTGTGTATGTGTGTTTGGGCTTCCTGGCCGATATCATAAATATGCCATTGCGCTGCCCTGTTGCACCGTTATCACAAAACCATTAAAGCTTATACCTCCAACACCCAGCTTTCCTGCATGTGTGTGTGCCCCAATGCTTTATTATCACCATTTCCTAAGGCTGTCTGCTTTGTGAAATATCACTGTTGTCGTAAGGTTTTTGGCTTAAAGTGCAGCAACAACATTCTGTTGAAGATTTCTGGGTTGATAATTTACTGTGTCTATTGCACTCATAGAGTGAAACACAAACAGTGTAACACTAAAATGCTGCTCCACCTAACGTGAAACGACGTAATAAAGTTAATAGTACAGTTTCCAGGTTCTACACATGGATTATCATAACATATTATGTAATGTTTTAAAAGATTTCTTATTACAAGTGCTGAAAACAGTACTGTTCAGTATTACAACAGTATTTGTTGTAATAAATTTTAAAAAGACACCAATTCAAAATTTTTATTGGTTCTCTGTTTTTGCCATTAATAGGTATAATTTATTCTCCCATTTAGCATTTAAAAATAGGGACTATTTCATATTGACCTTTCGCAAAGGATTGAAACACTAGAGACACATCATCAATGAATTATAAAATAAAACATTAAACAAGCATGAATATTTTACATTTAAAACACCTTACTATTAAAGGAAAGCTCACTCAATACTGAAAATTTCATTATTTAAATTTTTATTATGTTATTTGCTTACCTTTTTCCAAAGTAGTTTGACTTTCATTTTTCTGTTGAACAAAAAAAACACAAAAAGCTGGGAGCCTGAAACCATTGACTTTAATAGTATTTCCATAGTGCTTGTTTTACATTCATTCATTCATTTTCCTTCAGCTTAGTCTCTTTATTCATCAGGGGTCGCCAACAGCGGAATGAATCGCCAACTCATTCATCAAATGTTTTACACAGCAGATGCCCTTCAGCTGCAACCCAGTACTGGGAAACACCCATACACACTTATTCGCTTACTAATACACAACAGACAATTTAGTTTATTCAATTCACCTACAGCGCATGCCTTTGCACTTGTGGGTGAAACCGGAGGACCTGGAGGAAACCTACACGAACACGGGGAGAACATGCAAACTCCACACAGAAATGCCAACTGACCCAGCTGGGACTCGAACCAGCGAACTTCTTGCTGTGAGGTGACAGTGCTAACCATGTCACCCTACTTGTTTTTCTTCAAAATGTCTTCTTTTGTATTCAACAGAAGAAAGAAACTCCACCAGAGTGTGAGTAAATAAAGAGTATGTTGGAGTAAACTTTTCTTTTAATGTCAATTGCAGAGAAACAATCATTTTGAAGTGGACTCTTAATTTTTAAAGCTTTATATAATAGATATTTAACGTTTATTACATATGCATTATTTAACATAAAAGCAAAACAAAATTATTTTTTTTTGGTTGTCTAAAATGTTGAATTAATACATTGACTATTTTTACTATATGAAGAGTCGTCTGATGAAGTGCCGTCTGGAATAGTCTTCTAAAATTAGCACTTTTCTAAACATCCTGTGTTTTTCTTCAGTTATTTCAATTTAAAGTGATAACATGTTCTTTGCCATAAAAGTGAAAATACTGAACCTACACATGAGAGTCTGAAAAAAAGCTAATTTTGAAACAATTGATGGAATTTAGAGGTTTTGCATCTGAAATCTTCAATTTGTAGTCTCATTACTGTATGTCAAAAGAAGAGGAAGTAGGACAATAACAAATTTGTTGTCGTCATCATCTGATGCATCCTACAGCGTGTATCATCATATCATGATGAAGTTTGCCATTGCTGTGGACCTCAAGGCCTATTTTTATTTCATTTTATTTTAAAGTGTGCTCTTGGTTCAGGCTTGTGGACCGTGTCCTGTCCCTGTGGCCCCTCTGGCTGCGGGTCTGTTGATCCTATTGTCTTCTGCATCAACACTCGTGGTCTGGTGCATAAAGGGCATCTGGTTAGCAGCTTAGACTCTACGGCAGGCATGAAAGGCAGCCATCATAGCCCATTCGCTCATATCTGCTCAGTGGTGCGACAAGGACGAGGACAGAGTCTGGGTGACTGGGGGACAGGAGTTCAATTCGCCCCACAGGGCACCAGGAGCAACGGACTGAACTGGACTGCAGTGGACCCGACATTGTGCAAAGGTGACCATTTGTATTCTCCTTGCTGTGTTTGTGCCCCTGGTGTGCAGATGGATTATATTGTTGAATGTGAGCCCATTGGCGATGTGTTTTGGCAATATCGGAGTTGTTTCCTGGTCTTAGTAAATGGTCAGTTCAGTCTAGTTTTGTTTAGCAAGTGAGACTTATCTATCAACTGTATTTTGACATCCTTGTATGTAAACGTTACATAAAACACTCAGATCATCTGGTTTCAACCTAATTCCCATTTATGTTTCTTGTACACAGCTAATACACAACCATGGGAGACTGGAGCTTCTTGGGTAATATTTTGGAGGAAGTAAATGAACATTCAACTGTGATTGGTCGTGTTTGGCTCACAGTACTATTCATTTTCCGAATTTTAATTCTGGGCACGGCTGCTGAGTTTGTCTGGGGAGACGAGCAGTCCGATTACGTGTGCAACACTCAGCAGCCAGGATGCGAGAATGTGTGCTATGATGAGGCCTTTCCAATCTCTCACATTCGCCTATGGGTGTTACAGATCATCTTTGTATCCACACCTTCACTTGTATACGTGGGCCATGCTGTCCATTACATCCACATGGAGGAGAAACGAAAGGAGCGGGAAGAAGCTGAGGTCAGCCACCAGCAAGAACTTTGCGAGGAGCGCCAGGCAATGGATCAAGGAAGCGTTCGCACTGCCAAGGAGACCAGCACGAAGGGGAGCAAGAAGTTTAGACTTGAAGGAACCCTGCTGTGCACCTACATCTGCCATATCATCTTCAAAGCTCTGTTTGAAATAGGCTTTGTAGTGGGACAATATTTCCTTTATGGGTTCCGCATCCTGCCTTTGTACAAGTGCAGTCGTTGGCCATGCCCTAACACAGTGGACTGCTACGTCTCCCGGCCCACCGAAAAGACCATCTTCATCATTTTCATGCTTGCAGTGGCTTGTGTTTCACTGTTCCTCAACTTTGTGGAGATTAGCCACCTCGGCTTGAAGAAGATCCGCTTTGTGTTCCACCGACCAGCTCCAGCACAGTTAGAGTCGCTTGGACCTCCTGAGAGGAGTTTACCGTTTCTTCTAACCACCCCTGTCCAAAAAGCCAAAGGCTACAGGCGCCTCGAAGAGGAGAAGAAAGACGAGGTGGCTCATATCTATCCACTAGCTGAGGTTGGGATGGAAGAGGGACAGTTCTTCTTACCTCAGCTGGAGAAGGAGCAGAAAAGCAGTCAGGAGGCAATTCTGCCAACAGCGCCACCTGTAGAGGAGACAATTATATGCGATGAGACTCAACCCTCCTTCCTTCAGGTCACAGAGACATTACCAGAGCTCCCAACTGAAGAGCCGCCTAGGGAAGGAGATGAGGTAGACAGTCTAAAAACTCCAACAGTGCTCCCAGAAGTACTAGAGGAGCATTCAGAAGGGGAAAGCGTGGAGGAAACATATTTAATTTCACTTGAGGAGAATTTGGATGTAGATGTAGGGAAAGTGGTGACTGAAGAAAAGTTGCTAAGAGAGAGTAGCTTAGTAGATACTGAGCCAAAACAAGAGGAAAACCTTTCAGGAGATGGAGAGGAGAAGGAAACCTCACAGGAAATTGGGGAAACAGAGGATAGCAACTTTCCAACCAAAAGGCTGAAGGAGGAAGAGGGTTTACCTGATGTGGTTGAAGAAGCATCTGATGAAGAGAGAGAACTTTGTGAGCTTGAGCCTTTTGTGAATGAGGACACTGTGGAGGAGGTGAAAACTTTAGATGATGTGAATCCTGACGATCTGGATATGTCCAAAATATCTGAAGGAGAACAAGAGTCTGAGGCTTTAGCGGAAAATGTAGCATCAAATCTTCCTGACATAGCGCCTATTGGGGATGAAGTGGATATGGGAAGGGACAAAGCTCAGAGTGATGTAGATGATAAAGAAGATGGAGTTCAAAGTGATGTAGTAGACTCAGGAGTTTTAGAAGATTTAGTGGAGATTAAAAAGGTCAGAGCTCTAGATGATCTACAAGATGCAGAAGATTGTTGTCTAGATATAGATAAGAACGATCCTTTAGAAAATGAGGATATACCTCTTGACACTGCAGTCAATACAAGTGGAGAGGATCTAGATAAACCTCTAGGACTTTCAGGTGACACTAACCAGTTGAAAACTTTGAGGAAGGAAGAGGTATCATTGGGGATAGAAGATCCACAGGAGGTCAAAGGCTCTGAGTTGGAAGAGTCAAGACAAGAAGATGAGTCTGTGAAAACTGGAGACCTTGAGAAGGAAGAATATTCTGAAGAATCAAAAGCCTTGGAGGCTTTAGAGGAGATGATAGATGCTCCACTTGTAGCTCTAGATTTAGAACCAACAGAGGAAACAAGATCTTCAAGTCGTCTCAGCAAAGGTAGCAGCAGAGCCAGGTCAGATGATCTAACTATATGACTGACCAAGAAACAGAAATTTCAGCAAACAATTTATAGAGTTAATTTCTTTCTCCAAGTGCCATCTTATTGAGAAACAAACATGTTTTCTAGGTCTAGGTTTTGTTAAATTATTCATCCCAAATGAAGCCCCCCTTTGTGAGAAGCTCTCCTATGGAAGTATTAAGGCAGCTAAATGTGTTCATGCATAAAAACCCATTTACACTGCGCAAGAAAAGAATTTAAGTATCAAAAAGTCCCAGGACTTCTTAGCACCCATTTGGGTATCACATGTGTCTGTTTCAAGTTCAGGAGTTTCCTAAATGATACATTACATTTCTGAAAGCAAACCAAAAGCAACACAGAATAAAATCAAAATGAGGTAACTATAAACATCAGCTGATTTATAAAACACAGCTAATTTCTCACATTTAAAAGTGATTTTTATTTTATAAATGTCAAACAGTCTTGCATTTTAAATTCATGCGATCTCTGTCTGTTGCTTTGAATAGTTATGTGTATCTTGACATGATTGTTACATGCTGATCCTGGGCCATAGAAACGATTGTGTTGTTATTTATAAATCTTCTACCAATTTGTGTATAAAATGAACCTTCTTTTTCAGTTACATCAAGTCCATAAAAGTAAATTTTAAAATAGATAGCATATTGCAATTGAGAGCTGGTATTCATCCACAATGAAACGAATATAACTGCTGTGTGTGTGTGTGTGTGTGTGTGTGTGCAATGCCTCTTCACCAATGATCTTTTACTGGTTTATGTTAAGAAGTTCCCAAATAAAAAAGGTAACAAAATAACTGATGACTGGAAAAGCCCTGTGTATTTCTGCTCTGTAAAATACAACATTTCACCTACAGTGTGTTTTTGACAACCACAAACCTCTTTTCTGACATAAATATAATCATTTGTTAAACAAAATAAATAAATAAATAAGATACTTAAAATTGTATGTGCTTCCCAGAGATGGGTTGCGGCTGGAAGGGCATCCTCTGCGTAAAAACGTGCTGGATAAGTTAGCGGTTTATTCCACTGTAGCGACCCTAGATTAATAAAGGGACTAAGCCGACAAGAAAATTAATGAATGAATGAAAATTGTATGTGCAAGAAAGGCACAAAGGAAAACTGCTCTGAAATTAAACGTCGGTGACATCTAGTGGTGAGTTACACTAATTTAAATCATTAAAAATAAAAACTTGCTCCGGTTTGAATGAGAGTGTGTGGGTGTTTCGCAGTGATGGGTTGCAGCTGGAAGTGCATCCGCTGTGTAAAACTTGCTGGACAAGTTGGCGGTTTATTCTGCTGTGACGACCCCTGATTAATAAAGGGACTAAGCCGAAAGGAAAACGAATGAATGAAAATGAAATGAAAGGTTTTATTTTCACTTATATATTTACAACAACAACCCTGTATTCAAAAGTCCCCGAGCATGTCTCTGTAAATAAAACAAAGTATTACTGATCAGCTCAATCTTTGGAAAGATTAAAAAAACACAACCACGTTTAGAAAGTGAAAAAGAAAAGCAAATGTAAAAAGTTAATTTTACTAAATTTACCAAGACTATCAAAATATAACCTATAAATAACATTTTGACAACCAGTAACCTGCCAAACTGCGAAACACTTCAGTGCAAGTGTAAAGTTTTTGCAGTGCAACACTTCAGTCAACTTGATGCACACTTACCTGTAAACACAAGTGCATTCATTTTAGTAATATCTGAACTGCTAACACCAAATCCATTTAATACACAATAATCTGGGAACTGTTATTCTATGGTTTAATTATCAGGTCCAGTATTTTTGCAGACTGCTGTATTACAAAACAAAAATAATAACTGTGTGTTGTTTTTATTAAGTTCCCCCTTATTTTTTGCAGTTTGAATATTATTCATCTTCACAACCTTGAACATTAATAAACCCCTTATCAGACATCAACAAAATTCTTTTCAAAAAAGAAAATTTAATAATATATTTTTAAAATTTAATAATATATTTTTCAGAAAATTTATTTTAAACTTCCATGACATCTAGTGGTCAGTTTAAATAACTTTCTGTCTTTTAAATAACTTTCTTTCTTTTAACTAGTTAAACTCTGCTGCTATTTTGGGATTTCCGCCTGGATTTTGCCTACCCAAATTTAAAAGCTTCCCAAATCCACATGCAGAGGTGTAAATGCAAAAATTTGGTATCATTTTAAAGAAAACCCTTTGAATTTTCAAAAAAAAAAATATATATATATATATATTGAAAGTGTTTAAAATAACTGTATATGTCGTCTGTGTTATAATAAACACCTAAAAAAGAGGCGCTTTTTGTATTTTTTTTATGAACTTAAATTTGAAAGTGTACCTTTTAGGTTCTGTGTGATCTAGCATGCTATAAATAATTTTGGTGATCCCTGCACATGTCTGTAATCATAGGAAAAAAGAAAAATGTCTCTACCATAATCTATGCAAAAGTTATTGTATTCCAACTGATGAGAGGCTTTACAAGCCACATGGACAGATCATTGTTTTCATATTTCACTATTCTTTTGTTTGATCAAACATAATTCACTATGTTTGGATTACTTATGCACATCACCTCAAAAACAGAGGAGAAATGGCCCTGAAGCGCACAGCACAAGGTAAGAGATGACAGCTGTTTGTGCTATCTGGGGCTGCTTAGTGATCATAAATGTATTGTTTTCATTTCTGCGCCATGGAAATATGGCGATTCATTCAGCAACTGTTTGATATTTGAATATAATTCAGTAAAATGCTAGAACCATATAAGCACCGGAAAGAGCTTTAATTTGAGCTATAACTTGTACATGTGTCATAAGAAAAATATAAAAACAAACCAATGTTCAATCCCCAGCTCGGGTATCCAAAATACTGTGTATTTAAGTGTAAATAACGTTTGTACAGTAGAATAAAAACCAAAGTGATGCATATGTGCATAAAATGTAGATTCTATACTATCAAACGAAACCACTTACGGGGGTCTAGTGCAATGCTAGCCCTTTAAATCTTAAAGCGAAAGTCGATGACGTCACAGAGAGTTTATAACTTTTCACCGGTCTCCTTAATTTCAATTTTTTTTATTCAGTCAAGTACGTTACACAGCAGAAACATGTACTACATAAATAAATACATAATTTAACAAGTATACGCAAACCCATAAATGTCCAGCAAGTATGATACAAAAAATGTCTATACTCAATGTAAGATGTGTCGGAAACAAAAGTTCTTAATGAAAAACATTTTGCCTCGGGTGTGGTTTTGACGGTGTTGCAGATGTCTTCTGTTAGTGTCTTTATTTACATTAAACAAAGCATGCAAAAAGTTTGAATCAGTTGTGATGGCAGAAATGCAGTCAGAAAAGAAGACATTTAATCCTTGTCATACTTTGGTGTAGAGACAGAGTTGGAGAGAAAAACTGTACAAAATGATGCACATCACTCTTTACTGGGTGCTTAGCCAAAACACAAAAAGTGCAAATTATATATTCAAAAAGGCGGCAATGCCAAAGCTCCAAAAAATGATAATTTGTTAAATTAAAAAGACTGAAACACACTTTCCTTTTTGAATATATAGATGAACTGTAAACCAATTTATATTAGCCTTTCTTACTACCCAGCTTTGTTGTATATGCACTATAGTGCTTCTTTCAGCCTTTCCTTTCACAATTCCAGTGTGAGTTTACTCCAGGCAAGCCAATACCCAGTCATTTCTCTTTGCATCTGATGAAATGTTTCTCTTTCTGTATGAAGGAATAATTTCAGTTTACATTTCTTGTAAATGGACAGAGTTCTGTGAGCTTGCAAAACACTACCCACATAGTCGAAAGTAAATGCAACACATATGTTTTTAAATGAAAAAGAAAAAAGACCCACCTTTTTCCACTTAAGCTGATTTAGGTTGAAGCTTCCTTTTCAAAATTGAATCCTAAAACCATATAAAACAAATGTTATACACAGATAAATAATATTGGCTGCTTAATAGCTTAATTCCCAATGTAGTTCAAGGTTTGTTTGTTTTTTTGTCTTTAAAATGGAAATCAAATCTTATAGGAAAGTCTCCTTTTTTGTCTAAATCTATATCAATGTTCAGGTTAAAAATGGCAAAACAGGGCTGCGGAACTATTTTTTAGCCTTAATGTTGACTGATTAAGGTATTATACATATTTTGACAAACCAATCTGCATATAAAATGCTAAAGTAATACATAAGAAACATCTGTAAAAAATATGTCTACATTATAATACCTTTTCCTTAAGTAGTGTCTTCATGATAAAGTCCATGATAGGAAGCATACTGATAAGCTGGCCTTTCTTCCACTGTCTGTAGAGATTCAACAACTCAATTCTAGCAAATCCGTCTTGACACACTGAAGACTAAAGAAAAAGAGAAATCAACTAGGATGAAAAACACACTTTCATATGCAAGAGCTTAAAATTACGTTGGATACTGTATAAACATATATATTCGTTTATTATTACTTACCTTTGGAAGGGACTTCAAAATATTAATAAACCACTGAAATTCTTTCTGAACTTTCTGAATTTGGTCTTCTCTGGTTTTTAGACATACATCCAGACTCCAACTCAATCTCTTAATATTGGAAATCTGATGAGATAGCAAGATTTAAACATCAACTTTTTGTTGTGTGTGCAATACATTTTTGCAATATGCAATTGCAATATGCTATTTTTTTTAAGGTTCATACTAGGGCTGCACTATTAAAATGCTTTACACTTTTAAAATGCTCACATAGTCATAGGCCTTAAAAACACATGCAGATGATGAACGTTTACTTTATTGTGCTTAAATTTGGATCTCCACAAATGTCATGTGTTTTGACCTGTCATTTCTGGTCAGCCTAAATCCATATCATTGTATATCTTGCGATGTGACTATTGCGAACCGACACATTGCAAATCAATGCTAAAACGATATATTGTGCCGCCCTAGTTCATACACATATTTACAACTAAAATTCCATGACTTTTCCAAGACTTTTTGGTAAATATTTATGAACTACTGTTTCATGTAAATAAGAAAAAATGCTAATTACAGCATATAATAAAATGTCAATCTATGAAGTATACTTTTTATATAGATCTATATAAAATTAATTTAGAGAATGCTTACACAACACTGTAAGATAGAAATAACATGAGAGCATGTCATTGGCCAAGAAAAGAAAGCAAGTAATACAACTAACCCTACCCTTAAGCATAATTTACACTAAATATTAGAAACATGGTAGGAATGACTGAAAACAAATGCTAGACCTAAATCACTTGAAGAACTGGAATTCACTCATTTGCCGAAATGACAAATAAAACATGACAAATAGTTCACCAAGTTTAAAAAAAAATCCCATGACTGTTCAAACCCTGTTATTTGCATTAGGTTTGAATGTTTGCTAATGGTTCTTTATGGGGTTCCCCAGCAGTTTCTGGCTAACATCAACATGAAAATACCTATAAATAACGCTTAAAAATAAATCATGAGCTATTCAACCTCTCAAGGAAATAATAGATATAAATCTCCCTAGCTTATTATGATGGTCTTGTTCATTTCCTGGGGGGGGAATGCAGACATACTCATAGGCAAATCAAGTTCAAGGCAGGGCTGATGTCAAGTTTCTTCCATGGAAAGTTTCATCATGTCATTTTGAGTTCTTGTGAAAATAACCTTAAATAGAGAGTTCCTGATAAAGGTCTGTTAATCACATCTCGCCCACTAACTAAACTGTGTTGTTTAGACAGCCATAAAATAGACTGTTTAATTGACATTCAGGTTCTGCTTGAGGAACAAGGAACAAAATACATGCAATAACACATGTCAGTCAGGTGGCCTTGGCCAATGAAAGCTAAGATGGAGTTTCCAGAAAAAAGCCAATTTTTACACTACTTTAACACTAATTTACCTGGTCTAAGTGGTTTCTGTATTCGGATTGTAATTTCCTAAGCTCTTCAGACCACCTGAGAACAAAAGCTTCACATTCTTGCAACCCCAGGTCATCCATCACATTGTAAGGTAGGGAATTTACAAAAACCTGAAATAAAAAACAAAAGTGTTACTCATACAGGAAAAATGTTATCACAATCATCACATAGACATTAGAGTTGGGGAATGTTGACCAATTTGGCATCGTACGATGTCTAATATGAAACATAGCGATGGACGATAGCATCGTCGTCATAGGCTACGGGGGCAAGGGGGAGGATCGTAATGCCGACTCAGCATCATGGTGTCTCTCGGCCATGGCATTGTCTATCGGCCCAACCCTAATAGGCATGTCCAGACAGATAGTCTTACATAAGAATGGAAATATTTGGTGTACACTCATATTCACAATGGATACAACAAAACAAACATTCTAACATCTATTTGAAATCCATGTCAGAATTAGTTTACTGATGCATTAGTCTATATGGGTTCATGTCTGACTAGTGGGAGCAAAACAGAACAGAGCATCAGTTTACTATCTGGGAATTGTCACGCACATCTCACCACAATGTCTATATAGAATTATTCATACCAAGTTCTTTTCATGTAGACCTTGTGTTTGTCAGTTGTAATTAAAAAAAAAAAAAAAAAAAAAAAAAAAAAAAGCTTAGCAACCATAACAATGAACAATCTACCTTTGTTGTGACTCTGTCCAGATGTATTACCAGGTCTCTTATGATACGCTTATATGTGTCCAAGGTGATATTTTCTTTCTGTGTGGAAACAAAGACATTACCACAAATTATGAATTGGCCTGTCAATCAATGATCTTCAAAACAGAGTTCATTTGTAGGCCGTTTCAGAATATGAATAATGGTATACCTGTAGAAATGTTTCTGTTGACACTAAAGTGTTCCTTATCTTGTTAACCTGTTAGAAAATCAAAGAACGTTTAAGGATGTTGATATTCAATAGTTGACTGAAAAATGATGTCATGGGTTAAAAAACAGATTAACTAAATCAACAAAACAGCAATGTATTGTACACTTATTTTCCTACAAAATACTTTTATTCTGCTACCATTCCCCATCTCTCTAACTCTACTGCATTTTATTTTAAGCATTTTAAAGAGGCCATGATTTAAGAAATCATATTTGTAACTTGTTAGGCCAAAAGGTATTGCTGAAACTAATTTACCAAAATTGTATCATTTTATTGGACTATTTATAATTTTAACATTTTATGATTTTTCCCATAAAACATCATAGTGCAATCAAGAACAGAAACTTGCTACAATGAATGTAACTGAATGGCTGCAAATACATTTTTTATGTCAGTTGTACTAGAAGCACCTTATGTCCATTAGAATTGATCAAGACTTAGTTGACTAATGAATTAAGTTGTTTCTAGTGATGATGGACAAATTATTATGAAAGGATCTATCATCTTCATGTCAAACTGTTGACAGTGTGAGGCAGTGTTTGTTCACTCCATTTCACTGCAGAATCATTTTTATACAAAGAAACAAGGGTTTTTAGAGAATGAAAACAACATGTCTAAGTTACAGTGTTTTTGTAGATGAACAAATTGATTGGCCATGCCAGACATGCTATGTTCTTATACCTGAACATCCTCAACTACTAAGTATCATATTTTGTATGATACTTAGTTTTATCATCTGATCACTATGTTTTATCACTATGTTTTATCATCTGATTTGTAACTGTTTTTTAAGTGTATGCAATTGTAGGTGAGTTACTTTGATTTCATCTAATAACTAATATTGACTGAACTAATCCTTCAAATATTACTTATATAATACCTACAAGTTTTTATTTTACACGTTATGAAAAGTGTAAAATAAACAACCAATTTCTTACAAAAGTCAACATGCCATAAAAAAAACAACTAGTTTTCACTAATATAGCGAAATCATTTCTACATTGTTTGTGTAAGGCAGTATTTTACTTTGAAAACACTGAGAGACATTTTTGAGTATTTTTAAAACAATTATATTTAATTCCCAAGGTCACACAATAATAATAATTTCACTTAAGTCATATCCATAAAAAAAGCCTTTCCCTCATAAATGCAAACTAAAATAAATTGAAATCAATAATTTTTGTTCTATAGAGAGAAACTCTTATCTTTTGATTAGCATTGTTTCTTTTTGGGTTGTGCAGTTTAATTCACAGAATTTCTACAAAGTAGGTTGTATACTGTAAACTTGCAGAGTTTTTGGTCACATCAATAACGCATGTTTATTTCCCTCATTTAAAATAAAACAATGTTTACAGATTGATATTTTTCTGATCTTATAACCCTTTGGTTGGTTGTTTTTAAAAAATAAAAACAGATGTTTCAATATAATGTTAACATACTTTTTCTGTGATTTTATGTTTTGAGAATCTGAAACCTGAGCAAACATTTCACAATAAAAACTTACCATTTTACAACACAGCCTTGGTTTTGTGAAGGGTTCAGAGGTACAATCGTTTTCATCCTGTACTGTGAAAGATGACACAAATTGCATCAAGGACATATAATTACCGCACAAGCAATCGCATTAACAAAACAATTATTATTGCTTTAATTTTTAAATGTTTTATTCATTTACCTCTCGTAGGCAAATCCTTCAGGTTCGCAATGTACTTTCGTGTGATGCCCATAGCGCTGTCGTGTCTTGAATGAACTTTACTGTCACTAGTCACATGATTTAGAAGCAACTGACGACTGTTCCCTTCTGGCATGCACTAAATTCCAGGGGTTTCATTACCACGACGTAAAATGGGCGTGGCTCGGTCGGTGTTTGGGAAACGCCCCCTTAAAAAAAAAAAACAATACTGAGAGGTCACCGATCATGCGCAGTACAGGTTCTTTTTTAGCGCGGTCATTTCAAACAGGATGATTATGGATAAAGAACTTACCGCGGTGGATAACGAGGGAAAAAAACAATCATACAGGTTATTTTTTTGTTTTTATAATCTTATAATTTAAAGATTTCATTAGCAAAACCGGCTGACCTCGTTTTACTCCGTTTTTCTGTCTCTGGGCTTTTGTACTTCCATTTTAAACCAAATAATAATGGTTGTGGTAAGATTAACCGTGTTTTTGTAGTTTAAAATATGGTGTTCAGTCATGTTTAAACAAATAAATACCACATTTTCTGTAATAAATCGTGGTTAATTTTTCTTACTCGATCTTAGTTAATTAACATAACTCATATTTATTTTCTATTTTTATTTAAAGTCATCATACACAAAACAACTGGGATCAGGACAGGTATCTGATGTTAACTAATATAAAAGTGATCATACATGAAACCCCTGAGATCAGGACAGGTATCTGATGTTAATGTATATAATATAAAAGTGATCATACATGAAACACCTGGGATCAGGACAGGTATCTGATGTTAACTAATATAAAAGTAATTATACATGAAACCCCTGGCATCAGGACAGGTATCTGATGCTACTGTATATGATATATAAAGTATTTGACACAAAAGCCGTGGGATCGGGACAGGTATCTTAAGTTATAACAGTATTAATGTAATCTGAGAGGTATCTTAAGTTAATTTGTTTAAAATAACATACACGTACTTCACATGAAACCCCTGCGAATACGTACAGGTATCTGAATCAAACGGCTGTTTTCACAATCTGCGCATGATCCGTGACCTATGCAAATTCACAGATAGGCCACGCCCACCCGATGACGTAGTAGCGGTTACGCTGTACTGAAACCCCTGGAAAAAAGTGCCTGCCGTCCATCAAACGCTGTCTGAGCTGCGATCCCCTTCCCACAATGCAATTCGAAAATGTATATAAACGGAAAAACACCCGTAATACGTGTATACGGAAAAAATCTGTTAAAATATACAGTCATTTAACTGTTATTTTACAGATTTTTTTTACAGTGTGGAGGCGTTAAAAAGATACTCCCAGAATTAAAAATTGACGGTGTTGACATACTTTCTCCATCATATAATAATAAAAAAATTAGACAAGTCTTTCAATCTAAACACAAAATATCCCCTAGAGGGAAATATTATTGGAATGAAAAAATTATTAATATTAATTGGAAAGCTACCTGGTCAATACCCTTTAAATTTTGCCTTTTAAATAAGGTTAAAGAAGTGCACTTTAAAATACTTCACAAAATGTATCCTTGCAAAGCAACTTTATCTAAATTCATGGATATTGAGAGTACTTGCACATTTTGTAATATACATGAGGAAGACTTATCTCGATCATCTTTTCTATAACTGTGATGCCTCTCGTAAATTTTGGAATGATGTTAGTGACGTGTTACTTGGGCAAAGAAATGTTAATTACAGGCTATCTTTAAAAGATGTGATTTGCACTTTTTCACACACAAAAAGAACATTCGAGTATGTTGTTAACTTCTACATTTTACAAGGTAAATATTTTATACATAAACAGAAATTTGCGAAATGTGTACCAAAATGTAATATTTTTTTATTAGAAATGGAAAATCTGAAAAAGTCTCTAATGCAAATTAAAAACAAAAAGAATGATTTAATGTTAGTTTTCATGAAGGAATTTTTTTCTAGTTCTGATCACCCGCTGTAGTCGATGATTGTATCCTAAGTTATTATTTTAGTTTATATGTATAGAAGTATTTTGTAATATTTGTATTTTTTTTTTGTTTTATTTATTAATTTTATTTTTTTTCTTTTGAAACTTTTTATTAAATTTTTTTCTGTTATATATTAATTCATCATTTTTGGATCTTGTAACTATAGTAATGTTTATGGATATTATATATCTGAATTATTGTATTTTTACTTTATGTAATGTTTCAAAACTATAATAAAAAAAAAAGTTTGGGAAACGCCCCCTTAAAAAAACAATACTGAGAGGTCACCGATCATGCGCAGTACAGGTTCTTTTTTAGCGCGGTCATTTCAAACAGGATGTTTATGGATAAAGAACCCACCGCGGTTGATAACGAAAGAAAAAACAATCATACAGGTTATTTTTTGTTTTTATAATGTTATATTTTAAAGATTTCATTAGCAAAAACAGCTGACCTCGTTTTACTCCGTTTTTCTGGGCTTTTGTACTTCCATTTTAAACCAAATAATAATGGTTGTGGTAAGATTAACCGTGTTTTTGTAGTTTAAAATATGGTATTCAGTCATGTTTAAACAAATAAATACCACAATTACTGTAATAAATCGTGGTTAATTTTTCTTTTTCGATCTTAGTTAATTAACATAACTCATATTTATTTTTATTTAAAGTCATCATACACAAAACAACTGAGATCAGGACAGGTATCTGATGTTAACTAATATAAAAGTGATCATACATGAAACCCCTGAGATCAGGACAGGTATCTGATGTTACTGTATATAAAAGTGATCATACATGAAACACCTGGGATCAGGACAGGTATCTGATTTTACTGTATATAAAAGTGATCATACAACACCTGGGATCAGGACAGGTATCTGATGTTAATGTATATAAAAGTGATCATACATGAAACACCTGGCATCAGGACAGGTATCTGATGTTACTGTATATAAAAGTGATCATACATGAAACACCTGGCATCAGGACAGGTATCTGATGTTACCGTATATGATATAAAGTATTTGACACAAAAGCCCTGGGATCGAGACAGGTATCTTAAGTTATAACAGTATTAATGTAATCTGAGAGGTATCTTAAGTTCATTTGTTTAATATAACATACACTGACTTCATATGAAACACCTGCGATCAGGACAGCTATTTTGTACTGCATATAAAAGGCATTGGACACAAAACCCCTGCGATTACGTACAGGTATATCAAACGGCTGTTTTCACAATCTGCGCATGATCCGTGACCTATGCAAATTCACATATAGGCCACGCCCACCCGATGACGTAGTAGCGGTTACGCTGTACTGAAACCCCTGGAATTTAGTGCATGCCTTTGATGGACACCGGGACATATTTCTTCCTCTGTTTTTTCCCTGGTAAGTACGATTAATAAAACATATAACAATATTTTAGTTAAAAGACTGCTTTATTACCTTTTTATCGTTATTTAAAATGATTTTTGTCTTTTATGAAGCGCCCATGGAAAGTACAGCAGTGAATTACGTTTAATATTGTTAATAAGATCAGACTTTATTTCATTAAGATCAAACTGAGCTATGAGTGGTTAAATGTAATTTAAACAAGCATTTACCTAATGATTTTTTACCTTTTTATACGTTTTTCTCATCAGTAAATATGATATCTGTTCATTTACAGTTGTTTGTCCGTATTTTTCTAAACTGCCGTGCGCGGGAAGTGGCGTGACGTCCAATCACCCACTCACTCCCTCTGCACCTGACTGGATTAACGGTAAACGTCAGTTTGTCTGTAAGAGTGTAAAAGGTATGTTAATTATTTTATAGAAATATAAATGTTTTCTTTGTACAGTGCATTGAACAAGGGATAGCATTCAAAGTTTGTGTCACTGTGTAGTTTGGTTGATATACGTTACCTTTAATGAACACTAACGTTAACGTGTTTCAAACGCTCGTAACACCTGACCGTCTGTGTTTGTTTGCATATTAATGACTAATTTCATATTTTTACTGACGTTATCAAATGTTAGCTTTAGTTTGACCGACGTATTAAGGCTGTGTGACCGAGATTCAGTGGAACAGCTTTGCTGGTTTTTAAGTAAGTTATAAGTTAGACTCGCGTGAATTGGAGGCATTTGTAACTCGGTATGAGGGGAAATACACACTCGTAAAGTTTTTATTAGTGGTGGGCCGTTATCAGCATTAACGTGCTGCGTTAACGCGAGACTTATCGCGCGGTAAAAAAAAAATATATCGCCGTTAATCTATTCTCAACGTTGGGTTGGGAGCTGGGTGACTTTCATACTTTGATATTTTAGCGCGGATGTATACCTGACCGGTGAGCCGTCTGACAAACAAGTGCCCTTATGAATCAAATCAGCAGGATGCCTGACTTTAACTGCAGTTCGGCAGTTTCACTTTAACTCATGAACATTTCATTCATCCCGCGTGACAAACTGGGGTAATAGACGCAAATAAGAAGCAAGAACTGATGAGAGTGTTATGGAATTTAACAACGCTCGCCAAATGGAACGAAAAAAAACTTCCGCATTTCGCGACGCGTGTTTGTGTGTACAGAGATAACAGAGTGATACAGTACGTGTGTGACATTTAAAAGTATTTATAGTGTTTACACTGTCATGCGTTTTCGGCCTCAAATACAACGTGTACCTTAAAGCACACAATTAAATGTTTGTTGTAGTCGAGTTGAACTGTCATTGATATTTATTTATTCACTTTTAAGAACCTCAAGGGCAGCTAATATGAAGATATAAAGATGAGTTGTTCTTCCACAGTCTTAAAATTCTTCAAACTAATTGTCAGTTCGATTCATTATAGCAAACAATACTTTCTTTACTATTAGGAGATCAGGAGTTTTATTTTAATGAAACCTTGATAATAGAGTGAACTACACATGGTGTTATCGCAAATGAAATCTTTTTATGTAGATTTTAAGTGAGTTTTATTTGCACAAATAAGGTTCACTGATATTTTGCTTTGTTGACTTTCAGGTTCTTTCATTTTGGTTATAAGTACATGTTACAGGTAAATTCTTAGATTCAATCCAAACTGAATTTGAATTAATACGGACAAATGAAATAAAATACACCTGGGATTTTAAATGTTTTCATTTTTTTATTATTCACAACGTTTGTGAAGTCTAAATGTAG